TCACTTTTTAACTTGATTATTTTCAATAAATTCATTATTGAATAAATTTTGAGATGACGATGATGATGATGATGATGATGATGATGATGATGATTAACGATGGAGTTTTTATTTCCTAAGGTAGATAGACAAAACCATCCAGCTAAAACAAGAAACATTAGAAGTTCAATTCATCACTTATTTAGATATGACAAATATATCATCATTTTGTTATTATCAGAAAGGGACTTGTAGATATTATAGTAATTTTAATAGTTGATGCCATAAGTCAATTGAAGTTAGTTCACTATGGGAAACCTGGCAGCATACTAGTGACTGGCTTCAAGAGGTATTTCTTGGAGTTCTAGTGAGAAGCAATGACAAGTGGAATTCAACCAGGTCTGTTGTGAGATAGTAACTCATTAGTGACAATAGTGGATATGTTGGATGCCGGCTAGCTCATTGGTCTAGTGGTTAAGCGTTCGCGCGCGAGACTGATAGATCCTGGGTTGGAATCTCAAGAGGCGGGAGCGTGGATGCGCATTGATGAGGAGTTCCTCAGTAGGATGAAACGACCGTCCAGTACTTCCAGGTTTTCCATGGTGGTCTAGCTTCAATTAATTCATGATCTCAACTATCAAAATCAATAAGCGTACATTAAGCCTACATTAATAAATTGAAATTATAGTGATTATAAAACGATGATTGGTTTACTGTATATATAACCATGTGTTATTATGTTAAACAACGGTTAACGGAAGGAATAATATGAAGTGTATACTTTTGGGGATAGGGAAAATGTTTAAAGTATAAATATATATATTAATGGTTCATAATTGAATAATAATCCTAGTATAATTAGCTTCATTTATTCCTATATATCCATAGTGTTTAATTTTAGTCATATTCATGTAGGACTTTGACGATCAATCATTCATTTTTGTATTAGTTGTTTAATGTTTAAGACTGTAATTGATCATTCTTTTATCCATATATGTGCATCCTATTCAGTCTTAAATATCAATATGAAGATTCAAATAACCAGTACACCCTATTGTACAAGTTAGTGACCACCTAGACTCAATAGCTAAATGGATAACACAATGGCATTTGAAACGAATAGTGCTGGATTCGAGTCCCTGAGTAATCATTAGGTCTAGGATGCAGGTGTATCCAACTGAAGAGTCCTAAATAAGATTAAACGGTTGTTGTGAATTCCATTACTGATCATCATTTCTTTCTGTTTATAAAACATTGTTTTTTTAAACATTCTCATTTCGTCAAAACATAAAAGGATAATGGTTTTGTGCATAACTGCTTTCATGTGATCATACTTATCTTTCACAGTTTCGATTAGCTATCTGGGCGAAACTCTAATTTATGAACGAGCCAATCAGAAGCGTTTCGGAGATTTCAAGGTTACAGCGCCAACCTCAGTGCTTAATGCTAATGTACGATGGGTTCACAACGAATTTTGTACACAACGTGATAATTGAGCGCCTATAACAAATAAAACGGCGAGAATATAATTTGTGAACGATTCAATCCAGTATAAGATAATGGATCTCGGATTTGAACGCGAAAGCCTTTCATTCATTTGGCTAAATCAATTTCCGGCATTATAGCTGGTGTCAGTTCGTGATGAAAACCGCATATATAATTTTTAACTAAGGCGAATTATGACAACTATCGCGAACTGGATAATAAAAGCACCACTAACACTGGTTGCAGCCAGGTACTACATTATATACGGATGATTGGAGAGCGTACAGACTCCTACATAGGCTTGGTTATGTGCATCGTGTCGTTATCCACAAGTAGCATTTTGTGCACTCAACAACCGGAGTGCACATAAACAATATTGAAGCTATGTGGTCGAGGCTGAAAAAATTTTTGAGACTTTATCATGGCTTCAGAGGCCGACTATTTTGTAGCCGTATGGATGATTTCCTCTACTGTATGCATTACGGTTATAGAACCCCTGAACCTCTTTCTAATCATGACAAGTTTTTGAACCACGTTAAAGAAATGTATCTACTTTATTTCCTTGGTTTTGTATAATATACTTTTATTGTATACTGACTGTTTGCTGATTGGCTCATATTTCTCAAGGCCACTTAAGATTCGTTCAAAGGTCGTCCATAAATTAGAGTCTCGTCGCTATCTGAAAAGGAAATTAAGTTCAGATATCTGGGTGAAGAACTGGAAATATATGTAGTCGGAATCACAAGCTTCAACCCATATGGATCCTTGGATTCCCACTATTTATGTGTCCCACATCAGTATGAAATAGTTACCGTAATGAGATTTATTCTAATAACTGTAATATATGTATTGCAAATTAGGAAATATTGTAAATTCCTTCGTTCAAACTCATATTACACTAATATTTAAAAGAAAATGATAATAATTTCCTTTTCATTAATTTTTCTCATTTTTAACATTCAATGATAGTTTAGATTCATTTGCATAATTCAATAGTATTCCATTTTATCCCATGTTTTAATGTATTCATCTCTTTGATTGAATAGTTCCATAGTATTTAGGCGCCAAGTTGATGTGAGACATCAAAAAAAGGGAAGAATATGCATTTGTGAAAATCACAGTGAAAAAATTTGAAGTAAATTCAACGTTTTCGTCTAGTAATCTGATTCAATCTTTTTCAAGGAAATGTAGAATCAGACCTCGACACGGAATACAATGGACAGCTCAGAATCAATTAGACGATTTGGACTTCGCAGATGACCTAGCCCTCCTATCACGTACACATGAACAATTGCAGATAAAGACAGTCAGTGTAGCAGCAGTCTCTGCATCAGTAGGCCTCAACCTACACAAAGGGAAAACCAAGGTCCTCAAATTCAAAGCGGAGAACAGCAATCCAATCACACTTGATGGCGAAACTCTGGAAGATGTAGAATCCTTCACATACCTGGGAAGCATCATCGATGAACAAGGAGGTTCAGATGCAGACGTAATGGCAAGGAATTGGTAAAGCAAGAGCCGCATTCCTACATTTGAAGAACATATGGAACTCAAAACAAGTTTCAAACAATATCAAAGTGAGAATCTTCAATACGAATGTCAAGGCAGTTCTACTGTACGGAGCTGAAACTTGGAGAACTACAACAACTATCATTAAGAAGATGCAAGTATTTATAAATAGCTGTCTACGCAAGATACTCAACATCCATTGGCCGGATACCATCAGCAACAGCCTACTGTGAGAGAGAGCAAACCAACTTCTAGCTGAAGAGTAAATTAGAAAAAGACGATGGAAATGGATGGGACATACACTACGCAAATCATCAAACTGCATCACGAGGCAAGCCCTAACTTGGAATCCTGAAGGAAGGTGGAAAAGAGGAAGGTCAAAGAACACATTACTTTGGGAAATAGAAGCAGAAATGAAAAGGATGAATAGGAACTGAAAGGAGCTGGAAAGGATTGCTTGAGACAGGGTTGGATGGAGAATGCTGGTGGTCGGCCTATGCTCCTTTACGAGAAGTAACAGGCGTATCTATCTACCTACCTACTTATAGAATCAAAATGATCGAATATAAATAAGGTACATGGTTCTCCGGTTCACTTTGTACTGAACAGATCATCCAATCAACGTTAACAATGATTAAAGTCGGTATTTGCATTAGTGTATATGAGACATGTGGTGTGAAACGAAAAGTGTTAAGATAACAGAATGTATGTATACGTAAACATTGTTAACATTGATTGGATGATCTATTTAGTAAACAATGAACCGAAGAACCATGTACCTTATTTATATTCGATAATTTTGATGTTTGATTCTATATTTCCTTGAAAAAGATTGGATCAGATTACTAGACGAAAACGTTAGATTTACTTCAAATGGATTCACTGTGATTTTCACAAATACATATTCTTCCTGTTTAATGTCATATATATATAACATCTAAGAAGTGAATTATGTGTTGCATAAGAGCTCATAGAGTCTTCAAGAAAGTTGATATGATCGATATTCTATTTTCGACAATAAATATACCGTACAGAATATTGATTATTGATAGTCATTAAATGTAAGCAATGATGGATTGTGGCTAGCGGTGGAATCCAGGAAGCGCGTTTTGTCTTAGAGTGAGCATTAACTCTCTGAGATTCAGGTACATCCAGCCGACGAGTCCTATATAGGACGAAACGCGCGTCAAACTGGATTCCACTACTAGCCACTATCCATCACTGCTTTCAAATAGCTTGTGAATTAAGGTAATATCGAGGCATACGCACAGTATGCACATATGCCAATAACAGACTGATCAATTACAGTCTTAAACCTCAATGGGAAGATACAAGCTAAACAATACCAAGTGAATTTAAAGTTTAAATGATTAGTAGTTTTTAGGTTGAATGCTGGTTATGAGAACTAAAGGTCATGTCTTTGATCCCATGTGGGATTGTAGTGACTCATACTACAGCGAATCAGTAGTTCGTTACTTCCTGGTTCCCATTGCTTATCTCAGTTTGTGATATTAACTATAAAATTCAACTATCTTCACATACCCTTATATAAACTAATAAGTAAACTGAACTTGTCAAAGTACATGTATAATGAATATCATCTAATTGTGTGTGCGTTCTATGATCATGAAAAGAAATTGGAGATAAGTGCAAACTTATCAGTTCATTAAATAAAGTAAATGTCCTTTATTGATCTCTTTGTTGTCAGGGCTAAAATTAAGAGTACATGCTATGAATAATTTTTTTTACATAGTAAACAACAAATATCATAGTGTCAATAACCATACAACAGCCGATCTTCTAAGACTGTTACATTTCCCGCATTACTCACCACTTTGGCTGTTCATCTTCTGTTGTATGCGGCGAAATAGTTTATTTCTTGTAAATTATAACTGTTTTTTCAAGTACTTCTGTGGTGATTACTACTTATACTGATAGACATAAGTAATAATGTAGATGACTCAGCGAGTCTTTGTCGAGCTGGCGTTGGACGTCCAGGGTACTGGGTTGACATCAAGTTTAGATGACCCAATAGATCAACAGAGCCACGGTGGCCAGAGCTCCAGAATACTCGACATTTCGACGGGGAGCGTGGCACAAACTACGAAAAACAAGAAAGTGGCATGGCAAGCAGCACAACTGCAGAAGCGACCGTTTAAAAGGAGGACGAGTTTGGTGTATGCTACTTATACTGACAGATATAAGTATTATGTAGCAGCGATCGGAAGTGGAACGCATGCAAGCAGGAGATTGCATTGAACATAACAGGAAGAGAAATAGAGAACAATCATAATAACAACAGGATTGAAAGAATCATGAAGCATGTACAAGACAACTGGACGAAATTGTACAAATACTGTATTTAATGTATGATTTTCACTTTTTAGTAAGTCACTCGGTAATTTTTTATTAAACAATATCTATTGGTTAAATTCACGTGGTGTTGTTTACTTGTATCTTCCTATTGTTACTTAGGACTCTAATTAATCAGTCTCTTGTTGGGATATGTGCATACTGTGAGGACTGCCTCGATATTGCCTTACGTCACATGCTATAGAAGCAGAGATGGATAGTGGGTAGCAGTGGAATCCAGAACGCATGTTTCGTCCTATTTGGGACTCGTCAACTAGACGTGCCTTCATCTGAGAGTTGATGTTCACTCCGATACCCTAACTCAGTACCGTTCGCTTCAAGGAAACAACACCAAGTGGAATTCAAACTTCACCACATTGCAAAAGAAGGTGGCTATCACGACTCAGTAGCTAATGGATAACGTGATGTTTTTCGATGTTAATGGTACTGGGTTTGAGTTCCAAAGTGAACATCAACTCTGAGATGCAGGTACCTCCAGCTGACGAGTCCCAAATAGGACGAAACACGCACACTTTATTCTACTGCTAGCCACTATTCATCTTTTCTTGTAATATTCATTGGTTTTCCTTACTTTAGCTTTAATTGTTCATTAGTAGTGTAGAATAATCACACATATATCAGCTATACATTTTCTACTGTTATTTCAGTTGACTATGTTGACGAGTATTGACTTCTATAAAACATTTTGTTTAGGTATTTTATGGTAATATGTTTCTTTTTTAATGGTAAATCATTCATTGAATACAAATTTATCCATTGATCTTTGAGAAATACTATGTATTTATGTACTTGTAAATCAGGTTCCACGTTTATTGAAACCGAACTAAATGGAAAAAGATTAGAATAAATAACTTACTAGTGAGAAGTTAAAGGTGCCGATACAGGTAGTTTTCTAAGCGGGTCACACGCTGAGACTTCGACCTAAAAGTTTTATCCACAAGACAGTGGAGCAATGTAAGGAGAAACAGTTCCATGGTAGCCGGTGAGCAACAAATGGTTCATACACCATTTGTTTCCTCAGAATCGTAGAGCCCATGTTCACCATTGGTTTGGAATTAGGATTTTCTAACTACCCTATGTGGATCCTCCGTATCCACCAACCTGGTTCATTCTCTTTTCATCCTCTCAGTTTCACAAACGACAGCCCTTACGCGGGAAGGCAATTAGTAGGACTTCTCTAGTAGTGGCTGTATAGGCGTGGCCATGTGAAAGCATTTTGATAGGGAGAACGAACTCTCTCCACTCTTGGCCGTACCAGGGCATGTATGGTGTTGTGATTGAAGCACTTGACTTACAAACATCAAGTTGTAAGTTCTAACCCTACATACATCCACTTTTAGTGGAATACCAAAATATTAACACCAGCCCACACATATATAAATATATGAATAGTATGGCTTAAAGTTGCACTTAATGAATAGGAGTTATGTTTTGGTACATTACGGTTATTGGTTGCAAAATGAAAAAAAACACAACATAATTTACTACTGAAAGATTTAATGATTAAGAAATGTAATAAAATGTCAATATCGATACATATTACTATGTTATTATTCATAATGTAGATGAAATGAAATCATTTATTTGCTGTCTGAAAACAATCTACAAAGTACCTATATTATGTATTTGTCGTTTTACTGTTTATATTTGGTTGATTTAACAAAACAAAATGTTTTTGAGATTATTTTACCCATTGATATTGATACATGAAATCACTGACTACTTCTCAGTGGATTCTGTTAACATCTTCAAATATTCTACCCCCAAATGCCCTGGTACGACCAGGAGTGGGGAAAGTCCCCTCTCCCTCTCCAAATGCTCTCACATGGTCACGAGTATATAGCCTCTGCCAGAGAAGTCCTACTCACTGCTTTCTCGCAGCATTACTGTTGTTCACGAAATTGAGAGGACGAAGAGTGAATGTCCGGCGCTTTAACCGGGTTGGTGGACATGGTGAGTCCATCTAGTGTACATGGGCTCCATGATCTTAAGGAAACAAATGGAGTATAAACCAATCGTTGGTCACCGACTACCATGGAACTGCATCTCCTTACGTTGCTCCACTGCCTTGTGGATCAGACCTTCAGGTCGAAGGCTCCGGGTGTGGCCCCTTAAGAAAAGCACGTGCTTCGGTTTGGGCACCCGGGTAGTATTACAGCCCTCACACATATCAAATGAGATTTGTGTAAGGCATATGTATTTGGTGCCTCCTTGTACCAATATCTGTGTTAAAATAAATAAATAATTAAATCCAAATATTCTAGATAAATTATATGAGATACTTACTTATCTACTTAAGCCTATTACTCCCAATCGAGCATAGGCTGCCGACTAGCATTCTCCAATCCATTCTGTCCTGGGTATTCCTTTCTAGTTCTGTTCAATTGTTGTTCATTCTTCTCATGTCTGTCTTCATTTCTCGGTGTAATGTGTACTTTGGTCTTCCTCTTTTCCTTTGGCCTTGATTATTCCATGTAACGGCTTGACTTGTGATACAGGTGGGTGGCTTCCTCAATGTGTGTCCTATTACGTGAGATAGATGAGATGAAAATCTTTGCATATTAATCATAGTAATAATTAGCTGTTTGTATGTTAAGTCTAAGTTGACTTACTTATTAACTTAATTACACTGAAACTGTAATGAAGGAAAAGTTTTGATTATTATCAATAAAAGGGTTTTGTGGATATTGTAGTAATTTAATAGTTGAATTCATAAGTCGATTAAAGTTAAAACCTAGAAACTCTGAACGACCGTTTTGTTCTAGTATAGGACTCCTCAGCAGTGCGCATCCATAATCCGTTATGTGGGACTCAAATCCAGAACCTTTGGTCTCGCGTGCGAACGATTAACCTATAGACCACTAAGTCGATATCCAACAGTTTTAATGTCTATGTTTGATTAATCCACGAAATTGCGCCACCGTTCACCATTGTCTTCAGTGAACTCCACTAGAACTTGCTGAAGACAATGACGAATAGTGGCTCAATTTCGTGGGTTGGTTGAAGTTTTGGTTATGTTATGATTATATTGTTAAAACAATGAATGGACTGTTAATTGACAAATGATACATAATGATATGATGAGGATAAATATTAACTAATGACTACTCTAAATTATCGACTTATGCCCCCGTACGTACTGATTTCATAAGATAAAACAACTTATCAATAGAATACATTTCACTCTTTCATAACGATGTGTTTATCATATTGAGCATTAAATATTAAATCAAACATAAATCACCGTTATCTGAATAAAGGCAATTGAATAATATGTGCTTTTTATCTAGTTAACATATCAATGAATTTATGACCTGATTACTGAGCCTCTATGTTAACGTTTTCATTATTCGTCGAACATAGTACTAAATGATGTAAACACTATAGTCATATTAATTAGGCATCAGTATTTCAACATTAATGTATCATCAGTTTAGGGGTTATGGAGATTGTTAAGTTTTTGATTGAGATCATGAACCGATTGATGGTAGACCACCCTTGGAAACCTGAAAGCACTGGACGGCCGTTTCGTCCTATTGTGGGACTCCTCAGAAGTGCGCATCCACGATCTCGCTCGCGGGATTCGAACCTAGGGTCTTCAGTCTCGCACACGAACGCTTAACCTACTGTTAATGTATCAGATTGTATTGACAATAAGAAAATTGAAAATGACTTACAATTAAGATTACTTACTAATGCCTATTACTCCTCATGGAGGATCATAGACTATCTACTGGACAATTAAAATGAAGCTATTCAATTCATTAGTATATTTCTTCATTATCTAATTTCATAAATCAATTACCGTGAAATTTTATCACGAAAACTAGATAATTATCTTTTCGTTTATTTCAGAAACCTATTCAAATGTAACTCAATCAACTTGTTTTGTTTTTGTTTTTTTCTTTTCAATCAAGAGATTTTCAAAATTATTTTTTTACTATTTTTGGATTGAGTTCACGAGTTGATTGATGTTAAACCACTACTGAATACCTGGAAGCACTAGACGGATGTTTTATCCTAGTGTGGGACTCCTAAACAGTGTGCATCCACGAATCCGCATGTGGGATTCGAACACAGGACCTTTGGTCTCGCGCGCGAACGCTTAGCCTCTGGAACACTGAGTTGTCATCCAATGGTGTAAATATCGAACTTAAACCAATCCTCTATATGCTCACTAGTGACTAGTTTCGTGACGAAATTCTCATAGTTTTAGAGAGAGACCGTGACCAGTAGAGTTAATCCGCGTCAGGTAGAGACAGATATCTACTTCACACGATGGAAGATGGTGGATTAGTTGAAGTTAGACATCATTAACACTGTTGGAAATCAGCTCAGGGATCTACTTGTTAAGCGTTCGTGCGCCAGACCGAATGTCCTGTGTTTAAATCCCTCGTACAGGATTGTGTATGCGCACTGTTGAGGAGTCTGATACTAGGACTAAAAGACTGTCCAGTGCTTCCAGGTTTTCACTGGTAGTCTTACATCCATCTGTTAATGATCTCAATAAAAATTCAACAATCTCTAGAACCCTATACTAGTTATCAGCTCAAATATGGACGTTATTTTTATTCTAAGTAAATTTCTCAAAAACTAAACCATATTCATCAGTCAGGTTCCAAATATCTAAAATACTCTGATAGTTTATTACAGAAGATTCTCCTCGAAAAATTCCAACAACCAGGAATTACTATTGAAAATAAACTTTGTGTTTTCTCCTAATTGTTAGATTTAGTTGGGAACTGACGATTAAGAATTAAGCAATAACGATCAGTCATTTAGTTATAAGCTATGTGAAAACTGGCTCATATATACACCGGTTTACGTTGCCACACTACATCAACACAATGAGCTAGATAGTATTATTAGTAGTAAAAAAGGATTAGATATAAACAATATGGTTCAAGAAGAAAGAATAAAGGTGAGACTAAAATTTATGGACAACCTTTGAATGACACTCGACTGATCTTGAGACGGTTCAACTACTAACTAGAACCAAATGAGGGTTATAAA